GTGCGTGAATCTAGGTGCGCGTGTATCTTAATGTACCTATACTTTTGTGCGTGAATCTAGGTGCGCGTGTACCTTAATGTACCTATACTTTTGTGCGTATGCACTCTGATTCGCGTGAACCTTCGTGCGCGCGTACTTTAACGTACCCATACCTCCGTGCGTGAATCTAGGCACGTGCGAATATGGGTGCGCCTAAAACTTCGGGGTTGTACCTCAATGCACCTATACCGTGTGTGAATTTAGGTGCGTTAGCGTGTACCTTGGCGGAATAGACCATTTCTTGTGCACCTTTTCCTTTGAGCGTTACGTTTGTGTGTGAGGACTGTGAATGTGCTTAGTGCGTAATTAAAGGCAAGAACCTGCACGTGAGTTGAGATAACATCATAGATACCAGAATGACAGCCAAACGTTGCTTAGTTAATAACATTTTTACATGATATGTAGGTTACCTGTATAAAGCATAGTGGTCTGTCTCTGCCTGTCTGAATAATCTCTTGAGGGTGTTCAAATCATGGTTGACCTATAGAAAGAAAAAAACCCAGGCACTTAAGTATCAAGAACCTTATCAAGAGGCTAAACGGCTTCCCCGAGCGGTCTTTTAGAATCAGTTTAATGCATATTTGCTTACTGARCGCTAAAACAAATATTTTCATCAGAAGAATACGTTGCAAATGATATTTAGGCTTGGCATGAGCGAGGAAAGACAAAACCCGAAAATAGGAAAGCGGAAACAGGAAAAGACCAAAAATACTGGTAAAAAAACGTGGTTGAATAAAGATTGTTTTGACAGATCATCAAGAAGATTWAAAAAAACGCGAATATTTTGATATCTATTCTCGCGATTATTAATGGATCGCACAATGTTTATTTTTGAAACTGTTGTATCGATGGTCCTCGCGGAAATAATCTTGCAATTAAGTGGTCATCTCCACGTCTTCAATAACACTAGCAATGCTGACATAGTCTATCGTAGGGGGAGGGGGTGAAGACCTCTTTTTGCCTTTCCCCTCCCTTTCTCAATCCCATAAATGTTAAAATATGTATAGGTTATTGGCAGCGATACAAACGATGCCATCTGCTTGCAGTCTGATTGGATGAGTAATACTACGGCTATGCCTGGTTATGCAGCATTGTCCGCATTGCTGTACCGTGACCGTGTGTCAAAGCTATACGTAATTTACTCCATGGAATATTGAATAAATAAAAACGCGCGTGCATGCTGTGTGCAGTTATAAAGCACGCGGGGATTGGCAGAACACGAGAGAAGTGTTATAAGGAGCACGACGCGTAGCGGAGTGCTTCTCGACACTTCTTGAGTGATCTGCCAATCGCTAAGTCCTTTATGACTTTACACAGCACAGCAAGCAAGTTTTTAATTTCTTTTATATAATACAAATTACATGAATGATAAAACTGAAAGTGCGCGTGCGTGCTGTGTGCTCTCATAAAGCACATCCTCCCAACCAATCAGAACGCGAGCTTTAGAACAGTTATATTATAATGGGTAATAATGCACTTACTCGTAATTTGTAGTTTTCAATGACTTCTCTGAGAAACATGGGATCATTTGTATCACCACTCAGCATAGTCTTTGCCCACTCTTTACAGAATGATGTAGCTTCTGTAGGTTAACGATTATCAAAATGAAAAGATAAGAACCTAGATAGGGTACACAGGGCTTGAAATAACAGCCAATCAGTCGCTGGTCATGATCACAGGCCAAATTAGTTTTAGCTGTCATACCTTCTGCCCGAACGTTACTGGTCAAATTTCCTGCTAGAGCTGAGTCTCTCCTCTTTCTCTCCCTTCTTTTAGGTGGGGAGGAGGGAGACTCTGCCGATGTAGAGCGTTTCCTCTATCGTGGACGAACGAAACCAGTTTTAAAACCGGTTTTTAACCGGGTACATGTAGTGAGCATGAGCAAATGTAACACACCGTGGCGCCAAACGTTGTTTGACGAGAGCGGCTGTCAAAATCATGACAGCGTTGCTTAGTTACGACACGCATGCGCGACAGGTATAACGTCCTACATCTGCAGAGTCTAATTTTCTCACTCCACCAAAACAAAAGGAAAATAGGCTCTGCTAGCAGGGAACTGGTCAAAATGACTAGTTGTCTATTTGTGATAGACCAGCAATATCAAAAAAAGCTGGTTTTCAAAACCAGAAAAATGGTGGCTTACTCGCATTTTCAACCTAATTTCAAAATTGTTTGYTTCCATTTAATTAAATGATTAGTGGGCTAGACTAAAACAATTAGAATTCTTGCCCTCGTGGATGACTCGTAAACCATTTGGGCTTTGGATCTAATCGTTAAATATACTCACCCTTAGTGCTCAATTCACATCTTTTCTCATCATCTATAGTTAAATTCAAAGAAGTTGGTAGAAAGCTTTTTTCTTCAAGAGACTTGCCCTGTGGACAGAAAAAGTTAAAATCTATCCTAACTATATTTTAAAGAGTTTATCAGTTTTAATCCCATATTCTCCCAACACTAAAGCAGTGGGGGCAGCTGTTACTGAGAAAGGCACCACATAGAAACCTTTTTAGTGCTTACCTTATCCTTTATTCCTATTCCTATTAACTACCCAATCCACTTCCTTGACCTGCCCTTGCCTTATCTCATTCCCCTCTCATCCACTTTTACCACAGCAGCCCCAAAAGCAAAACAGAACACCTGCAAACAGTTTGATAACTACTGTACCTCTATCTGATTCTTGCCTGCTTGCAGATTCAAAGTGTTCATAGTACTACATGCATTTACAAACCTAAACAAACAAAATACRATACCTCGTAGATTATTAGTTAAAGGGTTTGGAATTTGTCTTATTTTTGCAAAGGATAAAGCTTATTTTGAATTCCAAATTAACAAAGAAGTTTTGCAAACTGAGGTTTTTGCTTCTCTTACACATTGATCTTCAGAAGTACAAGGAGAGTTGAATAGGAAATGAACTATATATACGCAGCCATTTGTAAAAATTATGGCCGTTTCAAATATACGTACAAGTATATCAAAAGTATATCAGACACGGCAAGATATCTTTCTTGATATTTTTTTCGGAAAGCCCTAATGATAGACAACTAGAAAAAAATATCAGGGATGATATCCCATAATTTTTGATATGCTTTTGATATACTTGTATATATATTGGAAGCGGACATAATTTTTGCAAATGGCTGTAAATATATATATACATATAACTGCAAAACAAAGAAATTAAAAGAACTATTGTGTTATTTTAAGGTTGACATGTGGGCCTAATTTTGAATTCTAGAGACTTGCATTTTAGCATCCTTGGCCAGTTTGGAATCAGATGACTTGACTTGAAGGTTCATCCCGACAAGACCCTGTGGAATCAATTGAGTAAGAGTACTTTCAGACCTGCTAAACGCTGAGAACAAATTGATGAAAAGAATGGTAATTGTAATGAAATAAGGGCAGACTTACACATTGTATTAATACTGACAGGTCCTCTTTAAGCAAAGATACACAGCGGCATAGGAACTCCACCTGAAATTACTAGATTGATGAATTGCTTTGCTGATAACATTTTGCCAAACTTATATCTAGAGGTTGCAGGTATTGGTGTTGAATATTTGCACCATCACGTAATGGCAGCCACGTTAGACGGTAGGAACAATAAAATTGTTTTACATAAAAAAGAATTCAATTCCCAAGAGCAAAGGGATCTTATTGTTTTGCCATCTAACGACAGGCATCCCAAGCAGTATTATGAGTGTGATGGTGCAAGACCTCTATATTAAGCAGCATTGTCATCATCATCATCGTATATATCATCATCATTATCATCACTGTTATCATCATGATCATAATCATAATCATCTTTATCAACATCATCCTTGTCATTATTATCATCTCAATTATCATCATCATCATTCATCATTATCATCATCACTTCTACAGCAGCATCAACATCTTATTGTCATCATTATCATCATTCTCGATATTATCTTTGTGATCATCATCACTGGATGTCACCTGAGCCAAACTCATCATCATCATACTCGTCGTCACCATCTAAATTTCAGCATCTGCATATTTCACTTGACAGACTTAAATCAGAGAGAAACACTTACATTTTCTTCATACCAGTTGTTCAGATGACCAAACTGTTCTTTGACATCCAGTGATTCCTGGGCAAGAGTGTATACATTTATTTATTTATTAGTTTTTTCCCATGAGGGCAGGGACATCTCAACAGCATAGCCAATAATTATTACTACTTATTATTATTATTAATTAATTATTATTATATTATCATTTATTATTGTGGGCCTTAGACAGTTACTAAAATTCCAATTATCACACATAAATAATGCATAGATATTTAAGGTATGGACACGGCGCAACCTTGCGCGCAACATTGTGGAAGTAGGATATTTTTCTGCTTCAGCAACATTGCGTGCAACAAATTGCGTCATGTGTCATGGCATCAATTGCATGCAACATTGCGCACAATGTTGCACCGTGTGTCCGTACTAGCTTTAGATATTGAATTTAGGAAATACAAAATTAACATCTCCTTAGACCCTCCCACCCTTTGGAGTGCTGAATCCCCTCAATGGCAGGAGGTAAAGCTATATAATACACCCTTCTTTTGCAGGGGCAGATCCAGAGGGAGGGATGTGGGGGTTGAAATTTCAATTTTTTCTTAAACAGAATGTGCTGTTCATGTTTTTTTTCTTGGTTTGGTGTCTTTTACAGGTAGATGCCCATTGAACACAGAACTCCCTCTTAAGAAAATCCTGGATTTACTTCTGTTTTGGATATTCCAATCCTATTCTGTAGAGCAATACTTACTATAGGTGTCATTAGCTCTGGTAGTAACATGCTGCTGTAATCATCTAGCTCTTTCTGGAATGTATTTAGGGGTCAAAGAGCATATAACACCTCTAACATATAATCACAGTTTTCATTACGAGTTGGGGAACACAGAATGAGCAAAATTCTCCAACTCAAACTTCCATTATGGTTGAAGGACATAAGTGTGCACCCCTAAAACAGCATCATTCAGTTTGTTATTGGATCTTTGGTCCTTTCAATCTTCTATTAATGAAATCAAAAATAAATTCTAATTTCAACGAGCCACAACAAACATGTATGGCTCCATGTTTATCAGGTGGCATGTTGGAATGGAATTATTTCAAAACTTGATGAAAACCCTATATAATGGTAACATATATGCAACTTACAGTCATGCTACAGCAGTACTATATTCTACGACTCATAAATAAATATAAAGCAGTTAAAGGATATAATTCTAATTTAGTCTTGGCATCAGCAACAAAGCACACCACAAAGTCCTTTGATAAATATCTGCCTAGACTCATGACACTATCACTGGAAGACAAAATATATATAGAAATTATCACTGCATGTTACTTAAGAGTGTAATATAGTTTTTAATCACAAGTTTCCATATCAAATTGCTTGATAAGGGATTCCACTAGTGAGTGAAATGATATGGAAAATGAGTGAATAAAGGCCGGTTTAGATGGTACGATTTTCCCCTACAACTATCTTATACAACACGCTCGCGCCATCCTACAACTTGAGTCGCACTGTGTAAATCAAGCCTATGACTCGCCTACGACAGACACTAGCGTGTTGTATACGGTAATTGTAGGTGAATATCGTACCATCTAAACCAGCTTTAAAAGATATTAGGCTCTACAACATATTATGATACGTTTATAAAATAACACATTTCACAGTTTCCAATTTACCATGAAGTGATATTGTATCACTTGACTATTATGGCTTTTATTCACAGCATTATCACACTGATATCCAACCTAAATGGCTAAATGTGTAAATGCATTTTTCTGGACCAGGCAATGAAAAAAAACAGATATTTCTTCTTTTGGATTTTATCCTTATTTGAATCATTAACAAAAAAAATATTTTTCTTACTCATTATCTTCATCTTCTTTATCCCCTCTCAACAGGCAATAATAACACTGGCTAGTTGTGTTGGGCAGAACATCTTCAATAGTTGCAACATTGCCGCTGCCACTATATACTGTTCCCTTTGCTAGCCGTTTTGCTATGAATGTCCGTAGTTCAGTGTCTTGTTCACCTGTTAAGTTTGTACTCAGCAGCGATAGACTAATGAAAAATAATACAAATAAAAATATTTATGGCCATTTATTTTGAATCCAGTCTGGTTCTAAATAGTGATTGAGTTCGAAGTAAAACATCATTATTTTTAAATATTACAACATGAATGCCAAAAAGGGGTGAGTGGCTTCAATGGTATTCCCCTTCTTGCCAATGCCAATCAATTTTTCAAAATACAGGCCACCAACATTTACTCCAGCTTTCACTACAAAGATCAGTGGTTAAATAAATAAATCACTTTTATTTAAGTGTCTAGTTGTTCTAGCACTTTTGCACTAATTGGGGACACTTTTCACTCATACGCACTACCACTACATTCAATATTCTATGCACACAACGCTCAACTCACATGTTGATTTTTATGGAGGGAGGAAACTGGAGAACCCGGAGAAAACCTTCGTAGCAAAGGAGAGAACAACACATCAAACAAACTCGATTCACATGTGCCGACCGCAGGGCTCATACCAGCTACCCGACCCATTGGACTCACAGCRGTGAAAGACAATGTGTTAGCCGTGAATGGCACCCATGCTACCCAAGCCATGGCTGAGGGGTGAAAAATGGTAATGTGTAAAAACCCTGGCTATATACAAATTGAGGAAGGTGCATCCCTTGTGGCTTGGATGACCACATTAAATGACAGTCTGGTCTCCTAATTAGGGACATAAAAAACCACTGGGAATGTTACGAACCCTGGAAGAGACCACCCCCAGTGCCAGCAATGAGCTCAGCCTGCAGTATAGTGCCAGAGCTACTAGTGAATGAGACCTCTTAATGATGTATTATGACAAGTCAAATAGTCCAATGGAGCTGCTTTGCAGGTGCTGGAAAATGCAAGTAAGCCAGCTTGTGCCCACCCCCTCCCCAGCCCTTTCAAAACTAGCGAGGGTCCTCAGTGGTCCTTTTTCACAACAGTGTTACATTAGACGGTGTAACTGTCATTCCGATAATATCACAGCAAACGTTAGATATAAGCCTTACCTAAAGTCATGGTTAGCCGTCGCTTCTTTACGAAGGAAATCCGCCACTGATCCTTCCCCACCTTCCTCGTTCGTACCCGATGACGTCTTGTCTGTCAGCTCAGCACTGCTTGGCCTAATAAAACAGAACACCAATAAAATATACGACTAATAAACTCCTCAAGGGAAGGACAGAGACCTATTTACCTATTTGCGTTGTAGGTATAAAGTGCGTATCCTCTAAATAACAGTTCTTTTTCTTTTTCTCTTAGCTCTGCTGGAAAATATTTCGTTTCTTCTTCCGCCATCTTGAATCACCTGGTTACTCAGCTAACCGGAAGGCTTGGTTACAAATTTTCAAAATGGCGGACGAACCGAAGTGAAAAAGCATTTATCGCTTTTCGAACGTTTAAAAACTTTTTTAAGCTTATACTCAGTTATATTAGATATAAAATGGCTAAGAGCAAATACGAGTATGTGAGGAAGTTTGAGCAGAATGATAATTGCCTTCTAAATTGCTGGATAGTTGTTAGGATCGATGGAAGAAATTTTCACAGGTCTGCTGTCTATTTATAAACCTCTTGAATTTAAAATAAAGTTCCTCGATTTTCTTTCTTGGGTGGATAATGTTACTGTTTTTATGTCTAGGTTCTCTGATGTCCATGGATTTCAAAAGCCAAATGACTCGAGAGCTTTGAAGCTAATGAATCAGTGTGCAAAAGCTGTTATGGAGGAGTTTGGTGATATTTTGCTAAGCTATGGTCAAAGTGATGAATACAGGTATCATGTTGAAATTATTGAAAATCAGTGAGTAATGTCTTGTTGCAGATGGCTATTCGTTTTTCACCTGTGCGCTGACTTACATTTGAGGGGGGGATTGGGGGATTGAATAAAGGATAGTTAGGTATCCTCCCATGATCTCCTTGTCAACAATATCCCCCCTTCCACCTATCCTGAAACAATCCTTTGCTAAAATCAAGAATCTATTATAGCTGTCATTAGAACTGTAGAGGATTGATCAGCATTTGCAATTGTGCGTGGAGCCCTGTAATTTAACCCTTCTTTTTATTTGTTGAAATTTATAAGCTTTGTGTTTAAAAAGAGCACCACCCAGTTCAGTCGGAGAGCAAGGTAAGGTTATGGCCTAGATTCTGTACATTTTGACAGGCTTTTCCTTACTGTAAATATCTCTTTCAATATTCCAGCTGTACATTTTGACAGGCTTTTCCTTACTGTAAATACATGTATCTCTTTCAATATTCCAGCAAAATCACAACAAATACAGTTTCTCTATTTGCGGCATCATATGTGTTTCACTGGAAGACTTTCTTTCCCGACCAACAACTACAATACCCACCCATGTTTGATGCAAGAGTTGTCCTGTACCCTAGTGATAAAAATTTAAGAGATTATCTTAGCTGGAGACAAGCTGACTGTAAGTATAACAGATGCTTTAATTTGGTACCTTCTGGTCCAATTTATATTGTCACTAGCTTTTGCTTCAGTTATCATTTCTTTTCTCCAGCTGTAATGCTTGAGTAGGCGATGATGCTGCTGCTGATCATGCTATTGATGCTGGTGGTGGTGATGATAGTAGCGTTTGTGATGGTGTAGGTCTTGATGACAGTGAATAAGTTGGTAATGGTCGTGGTACTAATGGTAGCATTTGTGGTGTAGGTGATGGTGCTGATGATGATCATGATGACAATGCATATGATGGTGGTGGCAATAACTGTAGTCTTTTAGGTGGTGTAGATGAAGGTGCTGCTAAAGAGCATAAAATGGTGATGATGGTAATGCATATAATGATGATGGTGGTGGTATTTAATGGTAGCATTTGTGATGACCATGGTGATTTTAGTTGATGGTGGTGATGTTGATTATGAGGATGATATTCAGACACATGACTTAATTCATGCTGTAATTTTCATGCTTCTCTCAAATGTCCCCTAGGTCACATAAACAATCTTTACAATACCTGTTTCTGGAGTTTGGTAAATCAAGGTGGCCTAACTCAGACAAAAGCTGAAGAGAGACTCTGTGTTAGTACACTCCAGATCTGATATAACATCTTGTATCTTTGTCTTTTTGACTAGATAGTTTAAATAAATGCATAGTAACATTCATGTTTTTTTCTGCAAACAGGGAACAGTCTCAAGTGATARGAATGAGCTCTTGTTTTCTGAATTCAATATTAATTATAATAATGAGCCCCAAATGTACAGAAAAGGAACTGTTCTAATCAAGGACAATGATCAAGCTTGTAAGGTAGGTTGTTATCATTATTCTTACGCGTATCTCAGGGAATACTATTTATTTTTACTTTTACTTTTACTGATATGTATAAATACTAATAGAGCGGATGCAATTAAACCGTGAAATAAAATCAAACTAAATACTAACTAATAGTATCTATTTAGTGACTAATAGTTGCTATCACTCAACCAGAACATTCATCATAGAAAGACAAATACACAAGAGACCATTTATGTCTTTTGTTTAATGAATGTTCTGGTTGAGTGATAGCAACTATTAATCATAGATACTATTAGTTAGTATTTAGTTTGTTTTTTATTTCACGGTTTAATTATTGGTATGTAAAACTCTATCAAAGATAGGAAATAAGTTCCAATGCACTGAAATTTTCAACACTGGGCTTAAGAWAACACTGAGGTGGTCATGATAGCGCTGTCAATACAGGTGTACGTCAAAATAATCAGCATGTGCAAGGCAATGATTTGACTGGAGAAGTTCCAATTCTGGCCGGACATTGCCCAATGACTAGCTGTTATTTTAAGCCCTGCATTGCTATGGGATAAAATAGTCCAATCTATTCATTGGATTACTTTTTATACACAAAGAAAATAGAAGTGCATCATTTGAGAAATATTCCATGGTACACATATGCCACTACAAATCATTGCATAACTAGTATATATGAATATTACATTAGAATTTTTTTCTTTGTTGTAGGTTGAAAGTGACTCTTCAGATAAGCCTGTACAAACTGAAAACCATCCAGACCCACCACAAAATAAAAAACAAAAATCAAAACAGACCAGTCTAAAAGTTACAGCACACCACATAGATATCATTGGGGATCAATTTTGGGAAGATCATTCTGAGATATTAAACAGCTGACAATAAGATAGCCATTTTAATAAATTCACATTGATATTTATTCAACTGTTTTAAACCAAACAAAACTGTTTTAGACCAAATCTCATTTATAGATATCTATGAATTTTAAGAGCTAGTACATTACTCGTTTTGGCTCAATAAATTCATTCTAAGATGTTTCTCATTTATCAAGTAAAGTGCATTCTGTCCTAGCATTGATATGAACAATACCATAATTTATTTGCCACAAGGTTAGTAATACCAGAAGCAGGAGCATGACCACCCCTGTTTGACTAAAATTGTAAATTTTCCTAGTATTTTATTGGGCTACCTGTGAATATCACAGGAGTTTTCACCAAAACCATGGATGTGATCACCCCCCCAACTCTGGTACTCTTGCTATGCCACTAACCAGAAGGCTTTTTTATACCATTCCATAACAAACATGTGTACCAGTAAAAGATGATTTTAATGAAGGGGAAAAACATTCTTAATTTTGTCTTACTATACTTTCATGTCTTATGAGAATAATTATTGGTTAGCTTGTGTTTCTGTGCCTAAAGTTCATTTTTCTGAAAATTTTTTACATTCTTTGTCTGCTAAACAATTATAAATTACTCTATTGGTGAATTACGATAGTCTATGTAAATGCAATATACATGTGTGCTACATGCATGTGATATGGAATTATTGCAGAAAAACAAGTAGTCAGTCTGCAGTGCCTCATGCTGCTACCATTTCTGATTCTTTTGTCTCTTTCTTTTCTTTTTGCTTTTCTTGCCCTTAAATATGAAAAATCAATTTTACAAATTACATACTGGTAATGGACCAATTCCATTTGGTTGTAATGTTTCCCCAATAGACCTTTTTCAAGTTCCAAATTACCGCTGAATTCCTCGATTGTTCACAAATGGTAAAGTAAGGAATACACATTTTCAACAATACAAACACTTTGAAATTCCACTTCACTGGAACACATGAATATTCTGCACAAAGTTGAGGCTAACCCTGAGCAACTCAAAACTGGAGTATTCAAACCTTGTATCATTCCCTAGAGTACAATTTCTTTGTTTAACAGTTGCACATGAGAAGACACATGAATATGGATTAAACTCAAATGAAGAATTATATTCTTAAGAGAATGACACATGGTTTGAAATGGGAATACATTACACCCTATAGTAGAAAAGGTTTATATATACACTATCTATCCCTGTGTATGTCTCCCAGCCTTGTAAAACTTTACATTGACCTTATTACATTGACCTACATTACCTTCCCTCAGGGTCTTTTAAGGACAGAAATATTTATTAGTCATGTATAGAAGCCTGGGCAGAAGTGGGTGGCGTAGTAGTTTACTGCTCGCCTCTCACCACTGTGGTCCAGGTTCAAGACCCAGCTCAGACTGGATCATATGTAAGTTGAGTTTGTTTGATGCAGTTCTATTCCTTGCCACGAGGGTTTTCCCCAGGCTCTCTGGTTTCCTCCCTCCATGAAAAGCAACATGTGAGTTGAGTGACATATGTTGTAAATATATAATGTAGTGGTAGTGCGTGCAAAGGAAACCTCACGGAAGAGTTCTGTACGTGGAGTGGTGGTTGTAAAACAAAATGTAACAAATACCTGGCTCTTTTGTTGGTGGTTCAGGAAGATTAACAGGAAGGTCTTCCTTGGGTACTTCTGGTAATTTCTCTGTCACAGACTTAAAATAAAAGAATATAATTAAATTTATATTTTGAAAGGAAAATAAAAAATAAAATTAAGAAACCTCAATTTGTTTTAGTCGGAATTGGTAAAGGATGAGACTTTGTTTTTAAAATATATCCAAAATGGAATGGATTGGAAGATGTAAAAAAACATTGGGAGATCAGAGGAAAGAGATTGCAAGGGAAGACACAAGAAATAAAGGATAATTATGTTTGAAAGATGCAAGGAGTTTGTAAACAAGTCTAGAGTAGTTAGAATACCATTCAGTCTACTGGAAGAGACAAAGAAAAATTATGACAAAATAGCAAAAGTCTTAAAGAGATAATACCTCTGACAATTCATCTAATTCTTTCATGATTTCATCCTCATCCTCATCAGACAGACCACCACTTAATAAATCATCAATTTCCTGGAAAAGGAGATAAACTATATTTAGGTAAAGAAACACAAGAAGGAGTTCAGGAATTTGAGAAAGAGGTGGCGACAATTAAGAAGAAAAAGTCCCTCACTTATGAGAGGCCTCGGCCACCTCAGCCCTCATGTAACTTGCCCCTGTAATGGGTAAGTTACAGCATGGCTCCAATGTTTCTCCGAGGTTTTCATTTTCAATAACAGTACCCTTACCTTTTGATATTCCACAGCTTCTTTAGTCTCATCCATTATTCTCTCAACTTCTTYAATAGACATAATCTACAGCAGAATAAAGAAATCCAGACTTAAATGAAAACTGCATAATCCTGAAAATTGTAGATACCTTCCCCTACGGAGCTGGATCAATGGGGTGTTACTTTGTGCAGAGGACAAAGTCTACCTTATTCAATAGCCACAACAAGTCTCTAAGTTATACAATAGAATAAAGCTAACAAAGGATACGATAGGTGTCTATTGAATTTTGACACTGTGCCCTCTATTATTCGTTTGCACATTACATCACACTGATTGGTTATTTTTTATCATCAATACAAGGACAGACAGATAAAGCTGATTGCAATGAGCACGCGCTTTCTGTTGGTTGTTGTGATCACTAAAAATGAGAAATTTTTATTGTTTTGGTTATTGTAAAGAAACAAATAGACATCAGTTTTTTTATGTGTCTGTCCTCTTATTGACAATAGATTTTGTGATCATATTGTCATTGTGGACTATATGCCTCTTGAATCCACACTACTTGGACATGAATGTGATGACCACATTTATCATCAATTAGAGGACAGACATAGAAAAAACTGATGGCTATATAATTGTGAAGTCTACACAAAGTTATACCCAATCAATGTTATATCCTCTCTTCCTCCTCTCTTTTCTCAGACAATTAAATGGAAGTCATTTTAGGGTCATACCTCATGCAGCTGGTGAAGACATTCATTACCCTTCTTGAGACCTTCTGCTACTTGAATCTGGACTTGTGAAAATTCAATATCTTGAACCTAAAAACGTAAAACATTTTATGGTAAATTGTGTTTCATCATTAAACATGCATTCTCCATTTTAACATCATTAATACAGCACCATTCTCAAACGATCTATTGTATGATCTAAACTAAAAATAAAGGACAATTAGTATAGGAAGTTGCACAATCTTCTTGTACAATAGGGAATTCATAGGTATGAGTGATGTTCTGAAAGTTTTCAAAATTGGACAAGCCTTTAGGTGAGTCCAATTTGAGAATTTTCAAAACACAATGAGTTTCTATAAATTCTGAATTGTACGAGAAGATCGGCGATTTTCTGTTTATAATTCACTCAATGAGATTGAGCAAATTAATTGGGACTCAACAGAGTACAATTTTGGATTTAATTGTACTCTTCTTGTCCAATCAGAATTGAGTAATTTTGTTAAATGATTATGACAGTAGAAAACACCCACCATTTTTTCAAGATTGTCTAACTGATTATCAGTTCTTTCGAGAAGTTGTTCCTGGTATCTTTTTTTCTTAAGAAGAAGTTTGGCCTTGCTGAAAATTGAACAACAACTAAAGTTACTATCATTTTTTAACCATATGAGCCACAAAATGATGACACTAGAAATGATGCCAAATTCCCAGGCATCAAAGTTAACAATATTTTCAAACAGTGTATACCTCTTTTTCCCTTGTTGTAAAAGCTCCTTGGCAAGTTTTCTTTCCTTTTCTAAATTTTGTTCAATCTAATAAAATATAGAATGTGCAAATTATTTCCTGTTTAACAATTATTATAATAACTGAAAATTACACATCACATGTCTTGGCTAATACAAACCAAAAAATAAAAATTCCAGGTGCAGGGGGAGGGGTAGGGATGTTGATTCTTTGTTTTGCTCAATACAAAAACAGCTGTGTTTTCCAATTATTTCTTTCATTTTATTTCATTTATCCCATTTTCTATTTAATGCAATAGAAAGAAAATTAAATGGCAATGAAAATGAAATGATATTTCTCTTGGCTCCTAGACACACAAATTGCCTTCGACATTGCTTGCAATGGGGAAATGACACTGTGTGTCAACCCATGCATTTGTTGTGTGTGACATTGCCAAAGTACAACCTGCGATTGAGTGTCCAGGAATATTCTGGAATAGCAACAGAATACTCCACAAATCATAAGATTTCAGAACTCCTTGAGAAACGAGGTATGCAATAGAAGTTATTGGCATTAAACATCATGTAGTGGCGTATTCTATTGTTGTTCAATAATCCTCTTACAGGCCATTGATCTCGCAAACCTGTCCTTTCTGGGTTGGGACAAGTTGGTCCTTGGCAAGGTCAATAATGATCGACCACAAATCTGACATGTCCCGTCTTCTTCCCGTCTTTAGGCTTCTTAAGAGCATTACCGGCTAAATTGGTTGACAGAAGCCAGAAAGCCTGTCATTTAGAAGCTGGAAGTAAGCTGCTATATATGATCACGACAATGAACTCTGTTATATCTAGGCTTTACCTTTTTCTGATATTTCTTTAGCTTGTCTCTCTGCTGTTTAAGAGCCTATACATGTAATACAACAAGCTCTTTAAAATACGGTCTAAATGTAATAGCATGAATAAAAGATAACCTTTGAAAATTGGAGTAAAGTTACTAAGCTTTAAAATCAGAAAATGACGAAACTTCACTCAACAAGTCTTACCAGAACAGCCTTGTCTTGCTCTGTTATTTTGGGCTTTTCGGGCTCTTTCTTTCGACTAAAAAACAAACCCATGTCTAATTTTATTTCCTAGATTGATTTAAAATACCTTATCTCGACCGTATAACAATAAAGGAGGCTATATATCAAAGGGTTTAGACCCTAAGGACGACCCTAAGGAGATTTATGAGCGGCCATTTTGAAATAGGAATACCACAGGAAACCCGCCTATATCACACACAGGGAATCCAGACAAAGAACAATAATAATAAAAAAGAAAGTGGAAGGGAAGGAGGAAATGAATTGATGATGACACCCTCTGTGGAAATGCCACTACTAAATCCTACTTATTTTATTATTTTTATTTTATCTTTTGTAGTGTTGGGTATCTATTTCTCTTTTCAGGAGAAACTTTATCACGTATTACGAGTGACAGCCGACTTGAAGAACAATTCGTTTCACAGTCAGGATCAACAACATTTATAGGCGGAATCAGTCATCAAAATTATAGCAAAGTATTCAGATCATAGTTAATGGAGCACAGGATATGTGCGCTATATAAATAAATAAATGGGGTGGAATGGTATGGTTGGGAAACCTATTGTTCTAGGTTTTTGTTCTACTTCATCCATTGTTTATATGACGTTGACCGTGCACAGAGAAGGAAAATTTGCTCCGTTTGTTCACAGCATTAGGGAATATATATGTTTTTTCTCCAAAAAATCGTTCTAAAATATTTATCATTTGTTAATTAATCCTATATGATCAATATTATTTTTTTATTGAAAAAGTAATTGCCCTTTTTAATGCTTTCTAAGCCTGGTTTTCACAAGCGACGCAAGCACAAGCGCAAGTACGAGCGCAAGCATAATAAGAGGCCTTATTTCATCGTAAAAACTGTCTAACGCAAGCATAAGAACAAGCACAACGAAAAGGAAAAATTTTGATCCTTGTGCTTGTGCTTGCGTCGCTCGTGAAAACCAGAGTACGGCTTAACTGTATCTGCGCGTATAATAAATATTTATCCGCATGGTTTTTGGTCATCGAAGTTTTCACTTTCAAAATGTTCATACATGAAAATAATGAGGAAATGAATATATTCAATCTAAGTTGCTTGGTTCGTTGTGCACGGTCAGTATCAATTGAAGTGATGGTACGGTTCAACCTCAAACGCAAAACAAAAGCTTTGTTCTATGGAGTTTCCAAACCATTCCGCTCCATTAACTATGTTCAGATTAAGAAAAACATACTTTCAGGTATAAAGAGCGAGTGGTGATGAAAAGTAGTGAGTTCAGGGGCGCTGCATGCTTTGGGCTAACGGGCCTTAATAAAAGTTATTCTGCGGGGATGAGAGGAGTAAACTTAATAAATGACGCTCTCTTGATGAAAAATAATAAGTTATGATTGAAAAGGTCATATCAAAAAAAAAAAAAAAAAAAAAAAAAAAAAAAAAAAAAAAAAAAAAAAAAAAAAAAAAAAAAAGGGAACGAGGCCGAGGAGCTCTGGATAGGAGACTGGGTTTTTGCATCATTATTTTACTAAATGCATGTATTAATGACGTCGATAATGACAAATCAGCAAACTTCGATTGCTCGAACTGGGCATAAACCAAGAACAAGACTTAACTAAAAGTGAAGAACAGGAAGGTAAAGATATTTTAAGAGGAAATTTTCTGTCAATAACGAGCAATAATGGCAAAAAGCGTCAAAAACTAGACCTTCGAGTTTTGATCCCAATTTTCGTTTTGGGTTAACACTCAAAACCTTTTTTAAAACAGTTAGAAACTGATGTACTATGATAAAATGCTTGTTTGAAGCGGTATTTTCGATTGTACAAAGATGTTTTGTTGCATTTGTGTTAGAATGTTGCTCTGTCAGCCTTTTTCTATAGAAAATATATGGGAAGCAAATGAATGCCTGAACCTCATTTTCGGATAAATCTTTTGCTTTGGTTTAACACTTTGATTCCACTTTCATCGGTCATCTCCACTTCCAGTAATACAGAAAAGCCAAAAAATTCTTTCAAGCCCCAGCATACTAGCTGGCTACAGAATACCCGAGGAATGCAATTCATCACGTAATTGCAACGAGTAAAACTGCCATAATTGCATTTGATAAAGTGCTTTGACCCTAAACAAACATTAAGTCTATTGAACTCAAATATCCTTATATCATTGGCTTCTGGCCAAGAAAAATTTTAGATTACACTGAACCGCTTAATATTGTTACCATGGATACCATTACGTTTGCCTTTAAGATTGACATCAACGACTTCTCTTCTTCCTCACTTGTTTATATGAATATCATACACTTCTTTCAATAAAGTTAGTCACCAAAAACCTAGAAAGCTGAGATCACTGAGCATCATGGGAAACTTTTCATATCATAAAAAGCATATATATACAAAGCTGTTTTAATACAAACTGCAGCTCGATGATGCTCAGAAGAGGTGAGACTGTAACCAGTAAACGATTCTCAAGTCCATGAATAGTTATCAAGCCGTTGAACGTGTAAAATGAATTTACCCATAATACTTGTTGGCCTCAGCTTATAGCTTTTCAGGTGAATAACTTTATTGAAATAAGTGTATACATTCAATGACTTTATAATGGATTTTCTTAATTTCTATATTTAGATGCTTCTCTTTTTTGACGGTCATTGTGAGAGGTAAGATTTTTCGAACCCAAAAAAGAAAATTGTTGAGAATAAAAAAAAAAAACCGACAAAGGCGAAAAGCAGTTTTATTCACTTGACCTTCATCAAGATCTTGAAAAAGAGATAGGACTTATTTTTAATTCGGCTACAGATGTATATCGTTTCCATGAGCCGGCCAAATACTCCGGCACAAAAGGCGATAGGAAACAACAGGTTTTATTCCGTCCTGCAGCAAGGAGAAGAAAGAAGCAAATTAATGGTAGGCTTCAAGAAAACGAATTCTTCTATACTATACTATTTTATGCGTATGAGAATATCACTATATATTTATACTGTGATTGTTTTGTATCAAATTGAGCTGATCCTCGCAGTATTTCAAGCAACGTATGCAACTGCAAATTGAAAGACTCAGAAAAAATTCTTGAACGGAATACTATACCAGCGGATACTATTTCACTAGCTCACTGAACTGCCTCTAGTCTTAAGACTTAGCTCTCATCTTATAATTTAAAAATCTGATATTTTCTATCGTTTATCAGAAGTCAAAATTGATTTAAACTTTAAGACGAATTCAAACGTTAAGTAAGGAATGCGTTTGCTCTAAGAAACGATTCCTTCCTTAACTCCTGAAGGTCCTGAAACTGCAGAACATATTTTCAAATGTTTATAAGTTTATCAAGAACAAAAAGTTTGAACTCAACCTTGTCATATCGATAATGAATAAGAGACTCAACTGAAAATCCTTTGAAAACTTTCAAYTTAAGACTTAGTTCCTTGTCGTGGTTATAAATAGTATTTATATTCGTACTTTATTATTGATATATGATAGATARTATTGTCAAATATAGTTTCCACACAGTTATTTACCAAATAACGACCTAATACCAAATATCGGACAATGGACTTTGCACTTGACTTTTTCTACAAAGCCTAAGCACTTAAGAATGTGACGCAATCTTGATCTAAGGTTTTAATATTTTCTTTTAATTTTAATTGAGGTAGGTCTAGGTTCTGAGAGACCGCTCTCATAAGGTAGGGTGACCCTAGTGCTAGGGACAAGTCTTTTGTTTTCCTTCCCCAGGGGACACCAAAAACAAGAGGTAGCCCTAGCAGTAGGATCACCCTACCTTATGAGAGACCGTTCACATAAAGATAGGGCGACCCTGGTGCTAGGGACAAGTCTTTTGCCGTTTTCCTTCCCCAGGGGACACCAAAAACAAGAGGTAGTCCTAGCAGTAACCGAGGGTCACCTTTCTTTCATGTAAAGGAGGCCTAACAAAAATGTGGCCTTCATTACTAAATTGACTCTAACCTACGTAACCTTCCCTCGATTTCTTTCCATCGTACCTTCAGGTAGCCCACCACACGTTAAATCCACGGTTTYCCAAGGCAAAGTGCAAAATATAGAAGCCACCTATATTCGTCAGTCGCAACTCATATTATCATTACTATGCCTACYGAAGTTATAGCAACACTATCCAATCAGCAACGTCCACAAGATGACGCCAGGAAAAAGAAAACATGGATGTCTTTCATTCAAGATACGGACAATGAGTTGGACAAATGTACCGCTTGGAGAGTGTGTTTCTGTTGTTCTCTGGCCAGTATGATCAACTTGGGAAGTGCTTACACCTATGGGCTCTTTTTTCCTTCTATTCTTGATGAATTCCAGGCTGGAAAAGCAGCGACAGGTAAAATGAGCTCTAGTTTGGTTGGAATGTCTTGGATGAAACGAGGGTCAGTGGGAATGGAATTGAATCCTTCTTTTAGAGGATGTCACGGGGACGGGGACGGATACGGAGACAAACTGGATGAAGTAAATCATAACCTGAATAGACCTCTTTACCTTGAACGTAATGTTTTGCCCATTTCAACAAATAACCATAAATGCCTCCTCTTACGCCATAGCATTAGCAATAGCATAGAAAAACCTTCTTTTATAACATCAAGAAGCCGCACTCAAACTATCCATGCCAATTTTTCGTGTAATTCAACATCTTAATCCATGTAGAATCAATGGACCATTCTTAAAATTATCTTGTATGCGAGGCTGACATGGAAATACCAAAAACAAATGCCACGAATGTCATCGAGTAAAAGTGTGTTTTCTTTTGTATTTCCACATGTTAACTTCGCAGCCAAGATACTTTTGAAAAGCGTCCATTCTCAGAATAGTTAGAAGGGTGATAGACACTTTGGTTAATCTTTGGCTTTTTTTATTCCGTTTGTCTCAGCCCTTGCCGGATCAGTCACTGTGGCTCTTTCGGCTTTACTTGCACCAATTGCGTCAAAGCTTTGTGACCGCTTTGGCTGTCGGTTAACGATGATAGGAGGTGGGCTAACAACCGCTATTGCGCAACTTGGTTCATCGTTTGCTCCGAATGTCTACGTTCTCTTACTCTCTTACGGCGTTGGATTTGGCTTTGCTTCTTGTTTAGTCTTCATTTCAGCCATGCAGATTGTTCCCCTGTACTTTAATCGACATCGGTCTCTTGGCTTGGCTATTCTGAACTCAGGCAACGCGGGCGGGCTTCTATTCATGACACCTGTCATTCAAAAATTATTGGAGCATTTTGATTGGAGGAAAGCAATGATGATCTTGGCTGCACTGAACACGCTGCCATGCTTTTTGGGATGCAGCATCAATAGAAAAATGAAGCACACATCACAAAACACTCGAGATAACAGTCAGACGAAGCTGACTAAACAATGGACAAAGCTGCTTAAAACGTCGGTGCTGATGAACCCAGTGTTCATGCTGTTGTGTCTAACAATGTCAGTAGCTTGTCTTGGTTACATCATGCCGTCAATACATTTGGTAAGTTTGGTTCACGAAAATATCAACCATTTTATGTTTGGCTCGAGCTGTTTTAGCATCGGTCTGTCGTGTGGTATTGTGTTACTAATATTAGAGTATAGACTACTACAGATCCATGAAGTGAAGCATATTTGCCCTTCACTAAACACCTTGTTTTCCGGGCAACAGCACAATACAGCCAAAAATACCACTTGCAATTATCACTATTCGCGGTCCAAAGTGGTCCAAATCTACTGCTTCCTAGAATGCGTATGGATTAGTTGTAAGAGAAGGTCGAGTGACGAACCCGAATGTTTTCGTCTCGCTTTTTTCTTGAGAAGTTTAATTTGTTTCGCGCCAAAATCAATTCTCATTAATTCGCTTTTTGTTCTAATTTCTTCAGCGCCTGTAAATGCACTTCACGAATGAGATGCTTTTGTTGAAGAGGTTCCCAGGCGCCCTAGCTAGGACCACCATATAAGCTCCTGCATCAGTAGATTTACCATGAAGTATATAAATATAAACTGCCTCACCTAGGGAATGGAGGACTTATAGAGAACTTACTATACAGGGAACAAAAGGTACTAACTCAAACTTTTAAAAAACCTTGAAATGATTGGACCACTTTTTCCCCCAGGCGAAGTACGCCGAGGATCTTGGAATCCCAATCAGTAGCTCATCATGGATGTACTTCGCCATCGGCATTGCATCTCTCATATCTAGGATCCTTACCGGCAAGTTATGCGACACTGGCTGGATCTCTCACCTTTGCATCTTTCAGCTTGCAGTAGTGGTATTTGGAATCATCGACGTCTCGTTGCCATTGGCTACCAGTCTTACTTTCCTCATTGTATATTCTGTGATGTATGGGATATGCGAGGGTGTGATCATGACCTCGATGCATAGTTATATCCTGATAACTTTCCCTGGTATGGGCTTTGGATGGTACTGTACCTTCATGGGTTTAAGCTACTTGATCGGTCCTGTGTTCGCAGGTACGTATTCCAGTCAGAAAAGATTTGGCATTGCTATTATTGTTACTGAACACGTTCTAAAGCGGCTATGAGCCCTACTCAATGTTTTCAGTATCGATTCTAGATGACGTGAATAATCAAATGGCAAAATGTTTATATATTTTTTATAGTTGGTTGTAGTGATGGAAAGGATCATGATGACTGAGATTGCGATTGGTTGAGATAATGTTTATCAGACACAGTGTTGTATGGTGATGTTCATGATGACGATGATAGTGATGACTGATGATGATGCCAATGACGATGATACGGTAATGATAACCGTGGTGGTGGTGATGATAACTGATGATGATTGGTTATGATGACTGTTGATGATGTCAATGAAGATGATACGGTAATGATAACCGTGGTGGTGGTGTTGATGACTGATGATAATTGGAGATGGTGGCTGATGATGATAATAAATGAAGACGATGTTATACTGGTGATGTCTGCTAATATTGCTGCTGCTAATGACGATAATGGACATTGTCCATATATTTAACATCGCGTTTAATTCACAGGCGTAATAGCAGATTTTAGTGGTTCTTACCATCCTGCCTTTATCACTGCTGGTGTCTTCCTCTTTGTCTCTGCGTCTTTGCCTCTTTTCATGAGATTCATTCATAATACTAGCACACCAGAAGAGGTCAAGCTGAAAGAGTCAACAGACAAAGAACTTGTAATACTCGAGAAAATGACTGTACTATAGTAATCATTCGCAATACGCTTTCCCACTTTAGGCCGAATATACACTGTACTACRTTTTACTTGCATTGAAATTTTCAAATTTGTATTTTTTCATGAGAATAGTAAAACAAATGGTGCTAATCAACTGAACAGAAAAAAGTGTGCAAGTAGTTGTGGTTAACGCGACACCATAATGACCATAATGAAAATGTGCTATTTAAAACTTCATACTTAAAAAGTCAATGCAACTCTTCCAGAAACAAAGTTTGGGCTACCTGTGTTGTGGACCGATGATTCGGCAGTAGAGTTTTCATCGCACTAAGAAAGAAGATCCTTAAAAAGGACAAAAAAGCAAATGTCTGAACTAAACTGAATCATACTCATATTTAAAACTTCATACTTAAAAAGTCAACACAACTCTTCCAGAAACAGAGTTTGGGCTACCTGTGTTGTGGACCGATGATTCGGCAGTAGAGTTTTCATCGCACTAATAAGGAAGATCCTTTAAAAGGACAAAAAAGCAAATGTCTGAACCATACATAGAGTCGAAGATATTAGTCATTCAGAGGCTAATTTAAGGAAACGACTGGGTCGAGTTGGCATTACAGTGCATTGTGGGACCATTTTAGAGGACATATTTCCAAGATGGCGTTTTCGTCTCCTAAAAAATTCCCATAATGCACTGCAATGCTAACTCGACCCAGTCTTTTCCTCGACGGTTCTGGCTCAACCTCGGATTGGCTAATAGTCAGAATTGATGGTAAAACTGATGTTAATTAAAATAAAAACTTTAACAAATATTAAAGTATTTTTTATTACCTCTAATTTCGTTAGKTGGGTCTCTCTTACCCTCGGTTGTATCTCCCGCTTGACCCAAATTCGCGCTATATCCACCTTTATTTTGAATGAGTAGCCTTACATGACTGGGTGTCCTCATTTTCGAAATTTTCGAAAGAGAGACAGTACGTTAGTCGGTTTGGTAAATCTGCTCTAAAATCGTGCATCAATGTTTTGCAAGATGCATCGCAAACTTTGCTCTCTGACCCTTTGAATTTGGATATTAAATTTTCCTATTTCCGACTACGTATCACTCTCTAGAGCATCATTTCTTTGAGTAATGGTTGCGCACGASAAGACATATGAATATGGATACTACTCAAACGAAGAGAATGACACGTGGTCGAAGGTAGGCGTGCAAAGCTCTGGTGTAAAGAACAACAAGCTTCCACTTTGAGTAAGAAAGATATATTGTGACATGTGTAGTATGACTGAGCAAAAATTGCACTGTAAGAATAACAAAAATAATATTAGTTTGTTGCTCATACTACTGCACCTTTGGTAGAGTTCCAATCGGATAGGACAACAAAAACGAACTTTTGCAACAAAAACAACAGACCTCTTTACCTTGGGTGTAATGTTTCCCATTTCAGATCCCATTTCACTCTATTTGTTTAGCGGTTGCGCATAAGAAGACACATGTAACTCGATACATCTAGAACAAGAAATCTTATCCTCAAGAGAATGACAAGTGGTCTGAAATGGGAAAACATTAAGCCCAAGGTAAAAAGGTTTATTGCGGTACATTCTGCAACATTATTGCGTAACAATTCCATAGGATTTTCTTGCAAGACCGTACGTTTTCACGATGAACAAACGCATGCGCAAGCATTCAACCCAAATTTGGACATTTAATTAAATAATGTTCTTAACATGATAATTTAATTAAGATTTTCTAGCCTGCTCCGCAAGGCAACTCCTTGGGCTTCCTTTCGCGGGGTGGGCTTCCTTTGGCATAGAACCGCGGAGGGCACGGAGGGCGAAAAAGCGAAATAAAGAGAAGTTTAATCTCTCCCTCTTTCTTTTCCCCCCTCCTCTCCTCCCCTCTCGTGTCCGTTTTTGTTTCTTCGTTCCCAGAGAGAGAGACAGAGATATTCAAAGAGAAGCCTGCAGAGGAGGCTAAAGATTTTCCTACCTTACCACATTGATCATAATATATCTTGTATTTGTAATTCATATTATTATAATATATTTTAGTTTCTAGACAGTTTATTTAGTAACCCTTCTTCTCGAGTGTCCCCTTTTCTTGCGATTAGACTTTTTACCAGCGGATTTTGTCTTTTTTGGCGCGCTGTTTTTGTTCGATATCTCATCCAAACCTTTGCTCACATAGAATGCTGGGTCAGATAAGCAAGGAATTGATAGCAAATTGATATCACCAAAGTCACAGGAGCCTAGAGGAGGTGGGTGTCTTCCACCCCGTGGGGTGGGGGGAGCGGAGTGTGATTTAAACTTGATGAGACGTAACTCTCTAAGGTTATCGATCGATTCCCTCCTGCTGGAGGGTTCAGAGGATGAACTGTCACTGATTGATTCTTGCTCCCGTACCCGCGCTAACAAGGGATTCTGTCCATTCGTTGACTCCATATCAAGAGCCTCCTCCGCTTCCTCCTCCACTGATGTACTTCTCGTGCGTATTGTATTGTCACTGACCCGCATCTCTGCCACACCATTATTCCCAGGTGGAGGAGACTGCTCCAACACTTGAGCCAATGCTTGAGCCTGCGAGGTAGTCCTTGGCTTATTTCGATTGGCGCTTGGTGACCAGCAGTCTTCTGGCCCAGATATGGTCGTAAAGGCGTCAGCTCGGTCTCTTGATTCTAAACCAGTCCTCTCTCGACCGGTTTGACCGGAGTCCTGAGACGAGGACGGTGAAACCACATATGGTTTTCCCGAGCCTAGATTGATGTAGGAAGGCGGTGTAATTGTGTAGTAATGCGCTGGAGGGGTCGCCATTGCAGGCAGCTCTAGCAGTTGCGCAATATTGTGCAATTTGTTCTGCTTGAGCATTGTCCGCCGTCTCTGCAGACGCTGTTTTGCTGACATGCATCGAATATAATCATCAAAGATGAACTTGGCCGAAAGAATTGGTCGAGACCGGACTTTAGCAAGACTCCTCGCAGTAAAAGGTTGATGAATAGTGATAAACAGAGAACGACTGTCCTCTTTGTCAGGAGCCGTCTCRACGTCCTGAAGAAAATATAGGTAAGCCTTTTTTAATCGCTTGCAAACACATACTAAGAGGGTGTGGGTGAGGTGTATGTTCCTTACAAATACATACTAAAAGGGTGTGGGTGAGGTGTATTTTCCTTGTAAACACATACTAAGGGGGTATGGGTGAGGTGTATGTTTCTTACAAACACATACTAAAAGGTTGTGGGTGAGGTGTATGTTTCTTACAAACACATACTAAAAGGGTGTGGGTGAGGTGTATGTTTCTTACAAACACATACTAAAAGGGTGTGGGTGANGAGGTGTATGTTTCTTACAAACACATACTAAAAGGGTGTGGGTGAGGTGTATGTTTCTTACAAACACATACTAAAAGGGTGTGGGTGAGGTGTATTTTCCTTGTAAACACATACTAAGGGGGCGTGGGTGAGGTGTATGTTTCTTACAAACCCAAAATAAAAGTGTGTGGGTGAGGTGTATTTTCCTTGTTAACACATACTAAGGGGGGAAGGGTGAGGTGTATGTTTCTTAATAATAATAATAACAATGTTTATATAGGAAGATCTCATCACCAAGGTGTTTTTCTGAGAGGTCCTGAAACACATTTCTTGCAAACACATACTAAGAGGGTGTGGGTGAGGTGTATGCTCCTTATAAACACCCACAAACACTGGTAAGGCTATTGATTCATGTATTCAGTGTAAAACTTTATTCGTTCAGGATTGATATCTCATCTTATGAGTGGCACGAGACAGCGGCAAAAATTTTTGGGTAGTAGGGATTGAACGAGAAAGCAAATAAAAAGTGGAGAATGGCAATGGGAAGGAAGGAAAAGGAATAAAGATTCAGCCAGATTCATTGATTTATGGCAAAAGAAAAAGCACTGAGCAAGTAGTCAAAAGTATTTGGGATTTCGACAGAAAAAAATCAAAACTGATAAAAAATCAAAAATATAAAAGCCAAAATAAAACGCACCATATAAATCAAGGGTAAAAATTAAGCCCTCGATTCTTAGAATAAAGTTCATGACAACTTACTTGAAGTCTTGCAACAAACTTGACCACCCCCCAGCCCAGTTTACTGGTGTCAGGCTCAACTAGAATAAACTGTGCCTCGTCGATAACTAAGAAACGTCTGACAATCCTATGGGGGAAAAGATGGAAGTTTGAATGCAAGGGAAAAATAAATGCGAATAGTCCATTGTCGAGATACTGATGAGGTGTATGAATGATGGCACAGTGAACAATCCAAATAACGACTCTAGGGGAATGATGATAATGAAAATGTTGGTAATGATGGCGATTAATACTATGATGATGATGATAATGGTGATAATAATGGTGATTATACTATGATGATGATGATAATGGTAATAATAATGGTACTATCCTAACCATATAATAAAGAATTTTGATCGGCTGTTTTTTTCTTTCTCGCGCAATATGATTGGTCACCCAGTACCGTGACCTTGTCGTGACCGTGTCTGCGCCGTGTTGCGGGTATTAGAGTAAATTCTAGAGCAGTGTGATTGATCTGGCGTATCCACTGCCTTATAATGGTGATGATGACAATGATGATGATGATGATGATGACAATGATGATGATGACAATGATGATGATGACAATGATGATGATGATGATGACAATGATGATGATGACAATGATGATGATGACAATGATGATGATCATGATGATGATGACGATGATGATGATGATAATTATGATGGTGTTAAAGCTCTTTTACACCGCACGCTCATGAAATCTGGTCTCGTTTAACCACACTAAAGGTATACATACTTGTCTTCCATTTGAACTGTACATGAAATCAAATCACTGTTATCTGTAAAGGGAAAAAACAAGCATAATACTTAACGTTGACGTATACATGGTTGAGGTTTTTATTTCTGTCTGGACTAATTTGGGATTGTTTACACAATAAAAAAGGAAGCCCAGTGAGAAATAGTGGTTTTCCTTTCTTTCAGCATACATTTTTCTCAAAGGTTTTAAGCCCCGTTTACACTGGCGATTTTTGCGGCGATTTTTGCTGCAATTTTCGGAAATATGAATTCATTTGTCTCATCCTTCAAAAGAGACATTCGTCTAGGAAAATCTTTTTCAATATCCTGAAAAAAACTTTACAAGTAAATTCTTTACCATCATTTATTATGGAAAAAATCGCAAAAAAATCGCAGCAAAAATCGACGTAAAAATCGCTAGTGCAAACGGGGCTTTACTGGGGTTTTCAATATTCTGTAAACTAGGTATTTACAGGCTGCATGCTGAAATTTGGTTTTTCGCTGCCGTCAATGAAAAATAATCACTTGATACTTATTGTTTTTGACTGGCGGAAGTAAAAAAAAAAAACAATTTCACAACAAGCTGTTGAAACTGTCCGAGTTCGAAAGGATCGCTCAAAGACTGCAATTGCAGACATGACAACCAATATATATTGAAGAAGTAGAAAACGAGCGCAAGCACACGCTCCCAACCAATCAGAACGCGAGATGTATAACAGTTATTTTATAAATATATATACTTACTGAGATCCAAGACGTCTTCTAAATGAACAGAGTATTCTACTTTGGATAATGGAAGTCGTGTTTCTGTCTTCTTCAGAAGGGTTAGGCACAAGTCACGCATCATGAGGAACACTCGTATAGCCTGGATCAAGATAAACAGGATTGAGGAAGATTTTATAAAACAGTACACACTCTGGTTAAGCAGCAAGATGAGGGGCGAGCAATTTTCCTTTTAATGTGCGCATGGTCTTCTTAAAGAGTGCTTCCTCATTAGTATTACCAAGGGCGCAGCCAGGGGGTGTCAAGGGGGCTAGGGCCACCACCCTTCAACAAAATGGCAGCTTTTTAGATTTCTTACCGTAATTTTGAATTACTTTTTTTGTCAAATTATAACGTAAAATGTGATGTCGATTTTTATATTATTTATTTTTGTAAATAAAACTTCAAACGTAAGGCCGTTTTTTGTTTTGTTTTCGGTGCAAACAAGATGGCGGATTTTTAAATTTGGGCCCCCTTTGGAAAATCCTGGCTATGCCCTTGTCTACCCAAGGTTCCAGAGGTCCTTTTGTTTCAAAAATTAATATCTTCGTCAGTTAAGGCCAATGCTGGACAACGACAACAAATTAAGACAGTGCCGTTACATACAGAACAAGAAGTTCGAACTGCAAGGATCATCAAAGTTGCTGAGATAAGTGGCTGTGTAGTCTTTAACTTTTCTAATAGTCGCCCCCTCGGCATATTATGATGTCTTAAATAAAACAATAGAATTCAAGATGGCCGCCGTATAAGTAGGAAGGTCTATTCACAGAATTGTCATTATTGCCTTTAGTCATCTTCTTATTTACTTGTGTAAAGGACCGTAACTTGACGGGCCACAAAACTGAAAAACGAAGATTCAGTAAAATTGAGAAGACAGTTTTATATTCAAAGAGAAATACAATCGTTTTTATGAATTCTTATCGAAAAACATTTCATAACAATGCATGATAATACTCGTGTTCTGGTATCGTGGCCCGTCAATTTCCTTAAATTTGGATGAGCACGCAACCTTGAGAATACGGTCTTTTACATAATACAGGTAAATAAGAAGATGACTATAAGGCAATAATGACACGGACTTATAATGTCTGCGCTACATCAATATGGAAGACTTAAATCAACAGCACCATGCATAAGTCGCACCAGTAATTTTAACGAAAATTTAATTGAAAAAGCTAGGAACGAATATAATATAAATATTGAGGCAGCTGCATGATTTCTTCAACCTGTTTGACAACCTTTTTCGTAAATTCTCCTTTTCATTAATTTCAAAATATCAAAATAAGGAAATTCGAATTTAGGAGGTTTTTAAAATATTTTTTTTCACACTTTTTACCGCAAAATTATTTTGTAGATTGACGCACGAATATTAATATTTTCAATTTTTT